CCTTGTCGAAAGGAAACAATCTCAAGGATTGGAAGCCGGAGAGCGAAAGACTGGAGAAAAGGTGATAGCGTCGACTTCGGTAGCGAATGATAAAGCCCGATGGTACGATCCCTTAGCTAGTTTGGAGTCGCGCAACGTCATGTACCAGGGAAAAAGACGTGAAAGAGCTGCTGTGGAAAAATTAACGAAGCGATTCGGAGCGGCGGAAATACGTATCGACGGTACAAAGGTGGCTAAATCCGCCGGATTTGGACAGAATATCGAAATGGTACAAAAAGATACGCAAGTCCCGGCGTGCGAAATTAAAAAGTCTGCAGCAATAGCACCCGAGAAGAGCACCCAGAAAAATCTGCGAAAATCTGAAAAATACAAAAGAAATGATAAGGCGTCGCACACCGACGATAGGAGCATTTCCAGAGCGGCTGGCTTGGAGACAAGAGGAAGGTACGAGGAAAGAAAACGGGAAAGGTGGTTTCATAAACGTAAACTTCGTAAACGAAGGTATAAAATATGATAAGAGAGGAAGACTTTTAATATAAAAAAAAATACTTGATCGTGTCACAAGGGTCTTTTTTGTATTAATGTTACACAGGGAACCTGATGATAGCTCATCACAAAGAAGGTCTTGCGACAAGGCAACATTAATTAAAGAAAAACTTTATAATAAAAAAGGTAAACGAGAAAATATTTGCAGCCGCGACGTACACACTCAAAGACATGCCAGGTAATGCACATGTCTCATATTTTACTCGTACGTTCTTAACGTCGATGACTTGATAGTACACAGGTGGAAGATTTTATGAGTCGCGCAAAACGGCGTCCTGGCGATATTCGAAGAGAGAAAAAAATTATTTCTACTACAGTTCCTGGCCTAATTGAAAATCGTCAAACTCAATGTAACCTTCGCGATAGAGAAGATATTCAAAATGGAAAAGATAATGTCCGCGACTTAAAATCTACAAATGAGACAGAAGTCTCCTGTCATGTTAAACCACAATTTAAAACATCCGAACAAATGTTTCGCCGTCAAGATTATAACTATCCGGATCAACGAAAATTGTTGCATTCGTGTAACGAGTACGTTTATACACAAATCTTACAAATCTTATAAATCTTACAGGGAAAATAAGACATATTTACACGACAAATATATTTATTATTTACACAAGTTTACACAAGTAAAGGAAGCAGCAAAAGGCAAAACTTTAAAAACTTTAAAAATAAAATATAACGTATTAGTGAGAATAATGCAAAAGAACAGTAAAAGTTTTTTAGAACGTTTAAAACTAATTTTCTTTGTGATAATTACAATTTTATCGAAAGGAAGTCGCAGGAAATGAAAAGAAGGAAATACGACGTTAACGTGCGCGAAACCAGACTGGAGGTACCTATGTTGAAGAAATATTTGCCCTCTTATCAAACACCGGGCTTAATAGAAGAGCTGAAGGAACACGATAGAATAAGATTAATTCAGGAACGAGAAGCTAGAAGATGGACAGCTTTGAGCGCTCTTCGAAGCGCTAAGGATTCCTCGTCGAGTATCAGATCGAGAGATCGGGCATGCGGTACTTCTGTAATATGCGACGCTCATGAAACCGCCGGCAGATTAACCTCAGTAAGAAAATTACTTTTCTATTATCTAAAAGTTAAAAGAAACTCTTGAACTCTGCCGCTGCTGGTAGTGTTTAATTTTTTTTATTTAATTGATTTATGTACTTGGTATTTGTTACTACGCGATTGTTGAAAAATATTCTTAATATGAATTATTTATGTAGCAATATATGCAGTTCGCTCTCTAAGAAATGAAAGGTTAAAGATATAAAATATCTCAGTTTCGATATGATATATTCCAAGGTCTCCACGAGCTTGACCGAGGGGAATACCCTTCCTTATCAAGAAACGCAAACCTTCAAAGACGTGATGAGTGAGTTTCGGAAGAAAGTGATAGAGGCTGGGAAGCCTCTAATATCTTTATCTCAACGCGCAGATAAATGTAAAGACTTGAAACAATTGTTTCCGAAAACAGAAGACCGTAGAGGATTTACGGCACCGGAGTTGGAGAAAGTTGTTAACAGGTTTAAGGTAAGTGAGACTTTTTTCGTGAGAAATTTAAGCGAAATTAGGACGGCCAGAGTGGATTTGTGCGCATAAATTACAATTAACTATGGGATATTCGGCTGATACTGTTGACTTTCGATGTAGAAGCCGAAACAATTTGAAATTAATTTACGCTCTTCGGCTGTTTAGCTTTGTGTTCCCACAGTAAGCTTCGATAATTAATAGTATAATTAATCCTGTGTACAGCCAATGTGTGATAAACATGAGAGAAAGGAGGAAGACGAGTGTACTACAATATATAAAGCAACGCGAAGATTTCAAAGTGAATCATTTAGCGAAATATCATCAATTTGCAGTTACTCTTGCGAAAATCGTCGATTTGACGTTTCAACTTCGCCGGATGAAACTACAGATAACAATACTAATATTCCTTAAATGTGTTATAACATGTGATAAAAAAATATTATGAGATTATTGTAACCACAGATTAATATTATTATCTAATATATTTTAATTGTAAATTGTTATTATTTAAATATTAAAGTTATTTAAGATTGTCCAGTCTAAAAGAAGGAGATTCAATTTTTAAAATATAAATTTTAAAAAAAGCGCCCGAATATAGTAGACTTGGCATATTTTGCAATGTTGCAAAATTACAAAATGATTGACTGACAGTGGTATCATCGCATGTCAAATATCTGTCGCAAATTGTATACGGGGCAACGTGTCAAATATTTATCAGCTGATACAATATTAAAAAAAAAAAAAATACGCATTATTCGCACTCGTGCGGTATATACATGCGGGTGCAATAATTTATGTGCATAACCGAAACAACAAGCAGCTGCGTTGAAGATCCATTTGAAAACAAGTGCAGCGACTATCAGAAGCAAACAACAATTTTCTTATCGGTGGTTTCTGAACACTGCTGCAGCTAAAACGATTAATTAATATACGTAATTGGCATAAACCAAAGTAAACGATATAAAGTATGAAAAGCTGTCTATTACGGAGCTTTTAAGAACAATCATGTAATTTTCGCAGGAAAATTGAGAACACTCATAAATCACGAAGGATTCTAAAAGTCGTGACTATCGGAAATGCGACCAACAAACTACGTGAATAATGTATCGTTCGATTTCCCGTGAGTACCATCAAATAAAAAAAAAAGAGAGAGAGAGAGAGAGAGAGAGAGAGAGAGAGAGAGAGAGAGAGAGAGAGAGAGAGAGAGAGAGACG